CACACATACATGCACAAACCCACGTACACGCAGACGCCCACTCTTACGGGTGTGACACCCGCACACACACACAAATTTATAACGTATACACTTATACACACTTACACATACTGATGCGTGTGTGTGTGTGTGTATAAATACACAGATATATATACACCCATATTTTTTTTACGGACACACATGAATTTCTCGGAAATTTATGCAGATATGTTCTAGTCTTATGAAAGAATAGACAAGAAATCTGAACAGTTTCATAAGAACTAATACTGTTTTGATAAAACGAGAAAACACGCACCAGAGAAGACTCAAAGTTCATTATTCATCTTACCCTTTCATATCTTGTTTAATATTTTCCTTTTCTTAATTTCCTCATTCATTATATCCCTTTTTTAGTTAGCTACCCTCACCTTAATCGCGCCACAACGGTACCACAAGTGAGTGTAAATATCATATGTTAAGGAGATAATTGAAACATGGCGAAACTTCCCGTAGAATTTCGTATCTTCTTCCTTTTTCTTCTTCTCTTTCTTCGTTTGTTGTTGATGTTATTATTGTTTTATCTGTGTGTTGCCTCAGAACATTTTATCGTGTCTCCAAATGGGCTTCACTTACGATTATCCGAATTTCCCGATATAAACATACAGAAAGCGAAACTCACACAAAGTTAAATAACTACTTACTATGTCGAGTCCGCTACGCAAATACGTTGTTTCTCCAGTTGGAATATAGTGAGAACAAAAAATCTATTTTACTGTCACACCATCTATAGCAAATATAAAAACTGCCAAGTAAAAGAATTAGAAAAAAATGTTTTCATATTTGGTAAGTTTCCGATAAAATCCCTAGGGACGTTTTCTGTAATGGGAGAAAGAAAACGGAATTATGTTGTGTATCTCCATTTTTTATAGTGCTGTGAAAAGTAATTAGTTGTTATGAGGCAGACGAATACAATCTTAAAGAACTCTTGATCTTTACTTCTTTCACATTAACGATTGTTGATGGAATGGCAAGAAAACATGCCATGTCTCTTTCTTTACTGATTATCTTGACACATAGATGGCTCCATCAGTGCTTAATCACCACGAGGTTAATCACTAGTTTTACCTATCTCACCTGTTTACCCTTTTCCTTGATCTTCGGAATGATTATATATATATATATATATATATATATATATATATATATATACATACATATATGTGTGTGTGTGTGTGTATGTATATATATTTTTTTTATTGCTTTCATCATTAACAGCATCACCATAATCATATTATCAACAGCAATAATAACACAAGTGATACAATCAGTAGAAAATAACATTTTCTTCTTTCCGAAAATTCAAGGAAAGGGGAAATCACGTGAGGACACAGCCTTACTTGGCTCCTTGGTGTCTGAGCACTTGTGGAGCCATCTATAAAAAAATATATATATATATATATATATATATATATATAATGATAATAGAATAAAAATAATAAAATTCAACGAAAAAAAACACAGCAGAAAGTGTGATTACTCGGCAATGGGTTAATTAGCGAAATGATTAAGTGTGATTATTATTGAAACGTATATTATTAATGCGAATTAAAAGACTTAACTGGCAGTGACGATTGCAGAGAATTTTCCTTTTTCTGAATAAAATTGTGGACTGTCCTGGGATCCGGTTCAAGGATATATTTTATTTTGATATTCTCTGCAGCCAAGAACGTATCCAGTTCAATCATCCTTTGAACGGTTATCGCGCCGAAACTTAACTTTTTATTCTCTCTCTAAATATTTATCATTGCTCTTATTTCTTCATTCATTTATTCTTTTTTTGCGGCATAGTCCATTCACCCGGCTGGTCATACTAGCTTGCATTAACAGTGTGATTTACATATAACCTTAAGGTGACAGCACTATTATAGGGTTAGGTTTGGACTAACAGTGCGAATTACTCAAAAGGCGAAAGTGCGAATAACACAAAAGACGGAGGTGCGAATTACACAAAAGTCGGAAGTGCGAATTACACAAAAGTCGGAAGTGCGAATTACACAAAAGTCGGATTTGCGAATTACACTTAAACGAAGTGCGAATTACGTATAAGGGAAACACGAATTACACAAATTATGCAGTGCGAATTACCCTTCTAAAGGCAAGGAAAATTCCCCCAAGGACTCGGAGGCACTCTTCCAGAACAGAGACCCGTAATTCATACCTTTAGATTTTCTTGAAATTTCAAAGGTATCAGTTTCCCTTTTCTTTCTTTAAAAAAATCACACAAAAATAAAAAGGGGTATAATAGCAACGATAGATTATACTGATAATAACATTTACGGCAGCAACAGTAATGATATAGCAACAATCACATCCGCACAAACCAGCATACAACATACATACACACACAGCCACATAAAAATAAAACATAATTAAACGCTTAAGGTGTACACACACGTAAGGAAAGTACACATTGAACAAAAAAGAAAAAGAAAAAAAAAGGAGGAGAAAAAAAAAAAAAAAA